TTTATTCTTTTTCTTTTCAACTCTGTAGCTCAAGATGTTATAAGTGAGCTCTTTTTTAGTACAACTGTCCAGACTTGCCTGTAATATGGATTTCTTGGTAGCAAGGAAAACCAGTTCAAGGTTACAAACATAAGTCGTAGTTGAGGTTAAGAAGTAAAAGTAACATGAATGTCACTGATTAGTTACATCCTGCTATATTGTAAGAAGCCGTGAGCGAAAAATTGTTTTCCCCCACAGACATGGGTAGATTGAGGTTATCGCCCCGCCGTCATGAATTCTGTTCATATACACCCCTCCTTATTTGTTACAGTGTAAGAAGTGGAAGCTACCCTATTACCGAATCTGATACATGAGAGACTTGAAGAAGGAAAACGAGAAAACTGGAAGAAAAAGGGCGGAAAAGAAGTCTTGGAAAGAGGAAAATAATAATTTTTAATAGAGCTACGCAAGAATATAACCTGAAAGTTATCCGAAATTGAAACCTTACCTTTGACCGTCCTAGTAAGCAACTTCTCGTGGATTCAGTAACTTTTCCACAAGTTCCGAGTTTGAGAGTGAGTGAAAGTGTGTATGCTGCCAAACCACCTACGAAGAGGATAGTTGATTGAGACAGTTGGACCTACTGTAACGGTATTTTTACTCCTGCAGTTCGCTCCAACTCGAAAAGTGCAGGTTCATACATGTCTCACCCAGGTCGGGACCAAAAAACGATAATTCTGGGAGAAAACGGTTCTATTTAATGATAAAAAGGGAAATACAGACAATTACCAAAAACAATATTACATCTTCGAGTTTCCAATTACCACAATAGGTTCCTTTTCTGGAAGAATAAGTGCTTCCAGTCCGTTACTGCTAGAGTATCAATCCAAAAATGGCTGCAGCCATATTATATATCAAATTTAAACAACATATGTACAGTTCAGAAGGAAACATTAAAACTTCAATATAAGTACAATATATAGAAATAATAAAAATATACAATGATAAAATCTCAAATTGGAATCAAATAGAGTACCAAAATATCAACAGAAAGAGTCAGTCATATCATAACACAAATATATATACATGGAGGGATTTTCCAAAAGACAAAACCTTCAAAATAGATTCTACACCTACTAGAAAGTGGTTGTTACTGGGAATGATTACGCTTGTCCGCATTGTTACTCAGATTGTCTACCAATCAATGGAGACAACTTTTATATCTTTGGGAATAATTAAATATTCGCATCTGGTGTCCAAAAGTGGGTTGTTTCCTGTAAATGGTGGGAGGTCAACGAGGGCACGTTCATGCCTACAAATACACAGTTAGATGTCATACCGAAATTTTCCGTATCATCAATAGGCACTTTTTTCTTTTCAGTTTTCTACTGAGAAAACCTAATATGAGTATGAAAAAAGTAGACGGACGAAGTTTGGACAATAGAATCAGGATCTCACATTGAAATGGCCCAGGAGTTATTCAGAACTTTGCACATCAAAATTGCTGCACCCCATATTCGTTGGACTAACCGAGGAATTCGAGGAATTCTCCACCGAGGGCGATTAGGGAGGTTCGAACCTTTTACCGTAAGAAAATAAGAGTAAGTTCAGAAACACTGAAGAGAGAGAATCTCAAAATCAGGGAGCCATGAGTGTTTTTGTTACAACTCTCAGCAATTTGAAATATCCTACTATAATCCGCTAGTTCATGTATTCATAGAATCACGAAAGCACTTATACTTGTAGATAAACCAACGGACTAAGAAAAGATCCAGCACACCAGCATCGCAGAGAGATTGTAATACTGTATCTTTGGTGGAGAATGGTTACAGAAAAGCTGAAGTATTCTCCAGCTCCTCTAGTGACATATGTGCTAAAGAGGTATCTCTTTCTGCATTTCAAACTACACACTTAAGGTGATAAGACAACGAAAAATGCTAGTGTAAAATATGTATCAAACAATAAAAGCATAGCCAGCTTACCGATAATTGATTCAATCAGTGCAAAGTAATAAAAATGGGAGAGAAACCTTGGTTACTAATGAGTAATTTAATCACGAAACGAAACGTTACGGCAGAAAGTAATGTGACTTTAAATATTAGGGAAACCCAGAATGTTAAAGGCATAAGGGCGTGACCTTTTAAGGTTAGTATGAAAAGTTGAGACCCTTAACTATGTCCTCGATGAATCTCTAAAGCGTTTGAGCTATACTTTTTCAAGGAAAGGCGTATACAAAAAGTCAGAGAGCCCGAAACGACTGATAATAGTCGTTGTAGAAATGTTTTCCACATCCACTTGAACCCGGTTATACGCTTTAACTAAGTAGACTCTCAGAAAAGCACTTATGCGTCTCAAATTGGGGATGTGTGGCAAAGAGTAACGACCAAGAGTAGTTGCCCTAAATAACCGGTTGTCTAAAAATGTGGGAAAGCATATGATATCACCATACGTAAAAATTATACATATATATAATTTCCCAACAAGGAAAAGACCTGCAATTTGTTTTTGGGTGTATCAGATCACTTCTCACACACCAATGAAGATGGCATGAATATTCAAGTTTTGACAGCGCTTCAGGCGGTAACACCTTTCTAGTCGAGGATTTTCAACCTAGTCAGAAATATAAGAATTTGAGTATATATTTAGAAGACAGTTAGGATATCGGAAATTGACTGATCTTACCTGGCCAGTTATGTCAAGGTTAGGCGTACCACGCGATACTCAACAACTATCTGATGAGGACACGTGGTCAAGCTCTTCAGCCAGCGGACGTCCAATGAAACCAATGAAGTCAGCACCACTGCCCAAGACCTACAGCACTACTTATGCTAGAGATATTTTATCGCCACAGAGGAGTGCGCAACTACTAAAATGAATATATAGGTGAGGAGAGTCTAGTACTTAATTCTACAGGATGTATCCATAATGACTGTGTAAGTACATTCACAATCGTTATATCTGTTATAAGTAACAAGGTCTGCCCCAATGTTAAGTGTCCTCATGGCTATAATGAATGGAGTTGTTATATCCATATATTACTTTTTTGTGATTGTGTCGAGTTCCGCTCATAAGAACTCCCATGTTGGTTCCGTTGCTGTGATAAGGTACATTATTTGGGAGATAAAATTAAGAGTTAGATGTTTTTGATGGTGTCTATAAACTGGCTGTCATTAGATGAGCCAACAGTTGTTTAATTCGAACTGCTCACTGAATTCTTGCTGATCATTTCTTTTCGTCGTCGAAGAATATATTTTTCAACTCAGTGACCTCTGTTCAACGGCTTTAAAGGATTTCACAGTGTCTCAGTTATTGTAATTCTAAACCACCATATACTAAACTAAAACCTAGTAATATCATCTATATGTTTTCAGTTTTTTTACGGCTACTTTAGCATCAACTGTTAACTACCTGATATCTGATTGTTTAGCGTAGGGTTAGATGAAGAACATTTATTCATATACATTTACAAACAAATCTCTTTTTAGGTAATTGAACAACTTGTCAAATAAACATATCATTACTATTTGACTGATTATTTGGCATTAACTCAGACGATAATTAGCTACGTACGGCTGAGTTTGCATATGAATGTGTGTCGTTGAATACTGTCCATTTATTTCAGAAATTTACCTCAGTGGAGTTGTCTAGAATATCGATTTCCAAACCACATATCCTGCTTACGAGTCCCTGTAAAACAGAATGCACATTCTGGATTCCACAGCTAGTCACTACTGAAATTTACTTAAACAGATAGTAACATGCAAGAATATCAATAAAGTACTTTAGAATGTAACTCACAGACTTATCTTATTAAATAATTTCAATATACAGCATCTGTGAAAAACGGTAAACACACATGACCGTCACATTTTCACGATATACACTGAAGTTTTCTAATAATGTAACCAGAATACATCCTATATCATGTTGTTCCTGCGTATATCCAATAACTTAGTGACGAGTCCAGTTAAACTATTTGATATTTTGTATTCTTTCTTTTGATATTAGAACCGTTCTAGATGCTTGATAGCGTCTAGTTAGATTCGCTTGTCAACTTCAGATAAATGATTTCTATGAATTCAATAGGTTTTTTAAGGTAAGTGTATGTGGCAGTAGGTAAGTGAATTAATCATTTGGCCAAAGTTGGATCTCAGCGTATTGGTGGCAGTCACGGCAAATGTAAATGCGATGGAGTTGAAATATTTGTCTGATTGGTTACAAAGCTTATCGAAATCCTCGTTTCTCCATAAAATAGAAATTAGTTGACGAACCAGATAACAGATACACTTACTTTTAAAATATAGAACATGTGACTGTACAGTAATTTTCTCTTAAGCGCTCGCAATTAACTTATATGACAACCTGTTTGTATATTTTGAAGCTCAATAATCAAACGTGTCTATAAGTTTGTAGCGAAATTCACATTAACATATAACTGTTAAAATGAGGTCAAGTACTTCAGGAAGCTATCAATTAACTTTCTTTAATCTCTGTAAACGTTCACAACTATAAAATTTCATAAGAAAAATGAACTATTTGGAATATTTCAAATCGATATTATTACTAATTTTGACAACGCTCTGATGATTTGAGCTTATATCTCAAGTTAAAATCTTGTAATTACATATTCTATATTCCTCTAACGTGACGACAAAACTTTTACATTGATGATTAAAATATAATTTACAGTCAGTTTTAAACTAGTACACTGGTTGCCTTCAAAAACATTGTATAAAAGAAATATAATGTACGATTAATAATAAATTCAATCTAACTGTGAAGGCTTTGAGTAACACAACTTCGGATATGTCACAAAGGTTCAAATGCGTCCACTTCTTATGCTACCCTAGATATCCCGTTCCGGCACTCTTTCTGTATGTATACTTTTGCATGCCTTCTCAAAACGCAATCTTAGTATTTAACCTTTCATATTACTATTATTGTACCATTATTCACAGACGCGTCCTAGAAACAGATTCGACTAACTAACATATATGGTAAATAAACTCAGTCGGAAATACTTTTTTGAATGTATATATTTGTAGAATCTTCACAAAACATATTTATAGTCAAATGAAATTTTTTTAAAAAATCTATTGTTATTTTTATCATATTCAAACAAATGTGATATTCATTGAGACGATTATTGATGATCAAATCGTACATCATGTTAAAGATAATAAAAAAAAACGAGTAATTTATACAGAACTATTATTCAAAACTTAAACATTATATTTCTCAAGCAAAACAAAAAAGATATAGTTTTAAATCACAGTCAATAGAAAAGAAAATGAATAAATCGTGAAGAATAATAGCGGGAATAACAAGAGTTTCGAATAAAAAAAATAGAAAAAGAATAACTAGTAAACACTGCTGCCATGTCTCATGGTCCACTGATCGCTTGTACACAGAATTATGCAGAGGAGAATTACATTTTCAACGAAAAAAAGACATCATGATTTAGCATTCATCTATCGCTTTTTGATGCATCCAACTAAATGATATGAAGATCAAACGAATGAAAACAAAGAGAAACAATTATTTCAAGGGGAAATAGAAATAATTTCTAGTAGTTGAATTACAAAAAAAAATAGAATTCACAACATTTTCTTTCTTAAACAAAATAACTGATAGCACAGTATATTTCATAGGATTACATTTAAAACTGCCGCATCAATTCTATGATATGTCGGTTATAAAGTTTTATTTACACAGTATAAGGAAAGAAATGAAAGAATGTAGAGCTTTTTACAACAGATTACTGTAAATCTTGACAAAAGTATGCTTAGTTAATGTAAAAAAAAACATTTCATTGAGAATACAGCTTAGTTTAGTGTAAACGCATCTGAACGCATCTCATCGGTTGGTTCATAACTATAAACGGTTGGATTTTAAAAATACGCCGAATTCATTTGGTTTTCTTCTAGGAAAAATAAACAAATAAATCACTTCAAAAAATTACAAAAGAAAAACTTATCTGCTAAAATTGGAAGGTAAAGTATAAAACAGAATAAACTTTGAAAAAAAGATATACGAATTGTTTTTTTCAGGGAAAGATTATGTACAAGAAACTCATATTACGTGCAAGGCAGAGAGACAAAATAATATACCAATCAATATACAAACAGAGAGACAAAAATACAATTTTGGTTCAAAACTACACTGACATTCACATTTGAGTAATAAAGGTAACTGAGAAATACTTCAATTTCAAATATTTTACAAATCACAGTTTAACGAAAGTTTTGACAACAAAATTTCTTTCAAAATTTATCAAGGGAAAATTGAATTAGCTATTTAAGCTATGAGAAAACACTACAACGTGTTGGATTGATCGACCAAACAGGAATAATTATGTTCAAAGCATAATAATTCCATAGTTATGGGCGAAAATACTAGTCAAAAACAAAGCTTCAATCCCTTGATTCAATAATAAGTGTAACTGTTGGATGTGAATGTCAAGAGAGTTAAAACTTTTTTCTCATGGTATAATATTTAAGTTGAAAAAAATGTACATCACAACGGCAATGTAACTAGTTTAAAACAAATATTTGTTTTAGCAGTTAATAAAACAAATATTTATTTGCTACTATAACCCATTTATGTTACCGCTGACAACATTGTTATTGATATTGTTATTATTATTATTATTATTACTATTATCATTAGTATAATTGAAACCAAGGCTATCATTACAATCATTAAAATATGAATTAACTTCATTATTGGATATGTTGTGTTTCATAACCGTTTTATTCATAGAATTAGCAGGAAATAAATTATCATTATTTCTACTGCTCATACAATCGTTTACGTTCCTAGAATTAGCATGAATAGAAATATCTCTAGTATTATCATTAATATTGTTATTATTATTATTATTATTATTATTATTACGGATAACAGGTGATAGTTCCGTCGTTGTATATGAAAACAAATGCGTTTCCGGTTGAGAATAACGAGCACCATTGATAATCTCATCATTGAAACAATCAAATTTATTTTCATGTTGAAATGAATTGTCTGTATCTTGGACAGGATTGCTTTCTGATAGTGTACGCCTTTTAAATACTTTCTGCAAATCTATTGATGTAGCACAAAACACAGGTTCATGATGATAAGATGTAACGCTGTTATTTGTTTTAATCAGATCATCATTGGTATAATGATTGATGATTGTAGTGTTAGACGATAGACGTTGAGTTAATCCACCAAAATGGATACGATAAACGTAATCACCCCATTTAATACGCCATGGATTAGAAATAGCAGTAATAAAAACAACATACACCAATAATTCACGACCAATCCAAGCGAGCAAAAATTTCGCAAATGAAAATGGAAGTCTTGAATTCTGTTAATGAAAATTGAAAACAAGGAAAAAAAAGTATACATTTCAGGTGGAAGAGATCAAGAATAAAGGCGAAATTGGATAAGGTAACAGCAAAAACCAATCGATTACAAAGAATGAAATAATTTATTTAAACAACAAGTATATACACTGAAAAGACCGTAGGACAAACAATAATCAATGGTTCTTAATCATCGACCATGTTGATTAACTCCATTCGAAACTTTTCTGCAGCTACTATTAATCCTAATGTCATTTACAGAATGGTAATTAACTGAAAATCGTTAACCAGAGAATCATACTGATAGTATTTTGCTGTAATCCGTGAATGGATTACATAACAGGAGAAAATAAGATCACGACATTACGTGGACTAATCTGCTCTACAGGTTTTAAAATTAAACTAATCTTGATATCATCAGATTTACGTACAAACATTTAATCTATCAATAAGGCGTTGATACAAATTGATCATAAATCTATTAATAAGGTAAACAACACGGCTGGGGAGAAGCCGTAGATCTCAGTAGCATCTACCGAACTGATAGACGCTCGGAAACTCATCTCACCTGGCTCTGAAGATGACGAACGGCGAAGTCAGCTTAGGCGCACACTGATAAAAAGCCTACGTAATGATCGTGAACAGTGGTGGGTGGCGAAAGCAAAACCGATAGAAAAGGCAGTGATGATACGTAACAGTAGACAATCGTTCCGCCTAATCAAGGAGACTGGTACTAGTGTGGTGCTGTGGTGCGAACTACTTATAAGTAGTATATAGCGTGAGTGTCAACGTAAAGTCTGGTAGCATAATATGGGGGGAAGATCAAGAAAGGAAGAGTCAGAAAACAATGGAATTTGTATGAAACGCATGAAGAGTGACAATGGATTGATGTTTGGCAACAGGAACAGTCCAGTTCCATCGGATGAACTGATCCTTTGCAAATGAACGATTTACGATATGGTTTTCCGATTTTACTGAGTAACTCTGTAATTTTCGTTAAATACAATTCGGTTGCCTCCACCTGTGTTCTCATTCACTACACTAGGAGTCCATCAGTTAACGAAACTATCTGACAAAAGAATGGGCTTGAAATTCATTCTCAATCCAGGAGATTGGATCGATGGGCAGAACACTTTAAAGATCAATTCAACTAGCCTTTAGCCACACTTCGGTTGCCCACGATCTCCAGTCATCCTGAATAGCAAATCGATGTTAGTCCTCCAACTATTGATAAAGTTGAAAATAGCTATAGGAAATCTGAAGCGATGGAGAGCAGCAGGGCCTGACAGGCTTATACCTGAAATGTATGATCATGCATGTAACTGCACCACTAGACAACTGTTTTATTCTAATCTGGAATCATAGATTTGTGTGCAACTATAACCACACATGGAATAGAAATCGGTTATTTTTTAGTCTTAAAGTGATCGATACTGGATGAAGAACTAAGATCAGATAGTCTATCGAAATATTGTCAATTCATTTTAAATAAAATCAATGCTTAACAGGTTATTTGAATCAATTAATACGATTAAAACAATCGATCGAGAACACGGTATAATTAAGTTTGTTGCATTACTTTTCATGTAGATTGAAACCATTACACATGCTTATCTTACAAGTTAATCCGTAAACAAATAAGAGATAGAAATAAATTGTGAATTATTAAAACTCTTCTTAAAACTTGATACATGCTCTCGTATAACAAGGTGAAACGTTTTCTTTCTATGAGTCTTAATTAAAATTGAAAAAAAAAAACAATTGACCAGAGAAAGCTACTATGAAATACATATAATATATCAGAGCATAAAAATCAAACGGTCAATGAAAGCAAATATTGAAAATTTTATGCCTAACCAAAAAACATGAACCATAAATAATTAAGTGAATAAAATAAATTTCTATGAAGATCTGTTCTGACATGCATTCGCATGAAAGTTTCAACCAAATTGAATATATATATATATATTCTTGAATAGAAATTATTGGAATATTGATAAGTTCGTCACTTAGTATGCTTGAGGCTATTACGAGTTACCTTAGTCGATAAACGCGAACGAGACTTTTACCAGCTTCCAGGGAGGCTACCTTGAATACCCAAAATCGAAATAGAAGGCTTTGAAAGCGTAGGAAGTATATTCTACAAACACCCAGCAATCACAGTACAATCAAGCATACAACTCTCGTTTATTTATACAACATAAGAACGTCCTTGAGACAGTTAAGAAAATAGCATACTAAAATACACAGCAGCCCATGACAGCCATGGATTTTCCTGGTGGGAATCGAAATCTCAAGGTCATCTGATCAGCCCATGCTGGCAAAACGGGAAAACCAAAATACGGCATTATCAACCGAATTTTGGGGATGTAACATCCCCAACAAATATTTCTCCTTAGATTAGATTGAAAGTAGTTTTCACATTTGTATATATATATATTTGATTTGTACAGAACATAATTGTTTTAATACTCAACTTATTACCTAAAGATAACTTCTAATAAAACAATATAGTTAGTTGATGCGACTTACAAAATATAGTTATTAACATCAAAATTATTAAACTTGAGAGTTATATGTTATGTGAAAAACTGTGTAGATACGACCTAGCTTCTGAAACAATTAGAATTGAACGAACATGATTAAAATAATGTAATTTGATGGTCAAGTACTATAATTTCAGGAGATAATACTTTCAAGTCAGTCAGTCACTCAGTTACAACGCAGAACTTCGTACGTATGGACATAAGTTCAGATTGCCATAGTGCATTAGCACAGAGACGCAAGTGTCAGTTCAAATCCCACAGTGGTGGAGATAGTAGAAGACTTGGCGGTAATGGAGAACATTAGGGATCGCAGATATTACACAAAAAGTATAGTTCCGTAAGATAACCTAATAAAGGGAAAGGTAGAGATGATGAGGAATTCAAAGGATTAGAATTTGAGAGAACACAATGAATGGATGCACCTGCGCCATTGCTAAAGGATTTTAAGCCATGTCGTTATGCATTCATGTTCTGAATGCAAACCGTGTTATTTAAGACATAAACAAAATGATTTTAGATAAACTATTAAACAGATTCAAGCATTCATTATGAGGTAATGAAATACATATCTATACCTATGAATCAATTCATTTAGGGGAGTGTAGTTGAAGTCGTTAGACGATCAATCAACAATTTTTAAAATTTTATTAATGCCCCAACATTGAAACAAAAATGAATGTAGTATGATTTTATGTTTTAGAGCAGAGGCATAGAATTAAACTTTGAACAAAATCATGTCACTTTTTTGAAAGACTTATTAAAATACAAAGAATTTATGTAGTCCATTAACAAGCATAATGAGAAAATAAAGTAGTATAAAACAACCTTAAAAATTCACCAAATCATGACATTTTTTTCATTACGGCTGTGAAATAATTGAACTTTATGGTACAAATAATTGAGTTATGAATAACATGAAATTGCAAAACAATTATCATAATATTAGTAGTAGTAGTAGTAGTAATAGAAAGATTTATAAATTTATTCATGATACAAAATGAAATAAATTCATTCATTCCTTTTGGTTTGGCAACTTGAAATGATGCATGTACGTACGAAGTTGTAAGTTGTAACTCTGATTGACTAAACAAATTCACAAAACATTATTAATGTCAATTATTATGGTGAGATAAAACTTATCGTCTCGTATAGAAAATTTATGTCGTTTGATTCAGACTGTTTTAAGAACCATATGTAATTAGTCAACAAATGGAAACCAAAAAAACAAAGTGTATTATTCAACATGTCAAAAATTACATGTGTTGTTAGTCTGTGATTGACATTGTAGGAATTTAAAGAATTCAATATTATCAACGAAATGAATCTTCTTCTTCCTCTCTCTCTCTCATGATATTGTTTTAATTTGAAGAAATTTAGGACTTTTTAATGCTCAGCTGTGAACTGCTGATCAAATCTGTACGAAATGTTTGTGCATGTTCGATATTGCTGTTTCTACATTTTCTTTTATCATTTACCTTTTTTCCATTGAGCAATGCTACACCATATACCCCACCTTATCAAACCATATATACCTAATACATGCTGGAACGGTAGCCCAATGGTTAAGATAATCAAATTTCAGCTATTGAGTTTCACGTATGAATCCTGTTTAACAGGTATTCGTCATATGCAAAGTATGACACAGACCCCGTTAACCTAATATTGCGCCTGTTAAATGAGTTGAACTGAAGAAAGATATACTATATAATTTAATAGTTTATTCATTGGTGAGATTCAAAACTTATATACAAATAACAGTGACATTAGAGTAAATAATCAGAAGTTTGGCAATTTAATCATAGTATCCATGCAAGAAATATCAGTCCGTCAACAACAACAAAGATTTTCGAACTTACGTACATCAGTTCAAGTTTCCATACCATATTAGCACAGAGATATAATTGTCAATCTAAATCCCATAGTAGTAGAGGTACTAGAAGTATTAGCAGTAATTGGAGAGATTAGGGTTGGAAGATATTATTCAAGAAGTAGAATCTAGTGAAATAAACTTAAAAAGAAAAAGATAAAGCTGATGAAGAACCCAGAGCCCCTAGCTTTCTTCCAATCTATTCCTACATAGCATAGGGTAGCTCGACGAGGCAGTTGGTGGTTAGACATACGCAACACATGTCCAACCACCTCAACTGATGAAGTTTCAATACTTCATCTATTGATCTGCCATCCTTACCTAGGAATCGTTTCCTAAACAACTGCATTGCTTACTCGGTTGTTCCAGGTCGCACAAGCAATGCTTCGGAGACATCTATGATCGAAAACCAGTAACCTACGAATATCTTCTACTCTGACTGGCCATGTTTCGCAGCAGCCATATAGTAGAACAAAGCGAACTGCTGCGCAGTACAATCGTCCTTTAGCCAGCAAACGGATATCTCGCCCACGCCTTAAGTTATGCAAGTATGTCAGAAATAAAATAATAACTTTAGTTTTTTTTGAAGACATTTATCACTTACTTGTATACAACGTAACAGCATATAATCCAATAAAATCCAAAGTGTAAAATGCGTCGATATTAAATAAATGATTTTAATATCAAATAAATAATGCATAGTGAATGCAAATAATAAACCAAGTGTAATTGATTCACTTAATGGTTCTAATACACCTGAAACTAACGGCAACATATTCAATCGTAGCCGAAGCCAACGAACCATTCGTTTGATGTAAGCTTTCAGTGTGCTATTACTGACATTCTGGATAACTGGATAAGATGACATCACTATACGATAACCTCTAAATAAATAAATCAATAAAACAATAGATAATATAAAACACAAAGTATAAATAAGTCATGTTGAAAGGACATTTAAATGATTTTGCTCCTGCGTTGGGATATATATATATATATATATATATATATATATATATATATATATGTTTAAACAATGAAGTTTAAAACTACAATAATTTATCCATTAACACAATATGTAACCATTATTTACACTAGTGAACCTCATACTAGCAACTATGTTGTATTCCTTTAGGCAAGATGAAACAAAACTAGTAGTGTCTGATAAAAAGCCATATGACCTTAAATTGGAACATGTTTCATAAAATAATAACGTCCGAAAATGTAATAAGCTAAATAAAACGAACAAATACAATGGAATACTACATAAGTAGACTGACTAGATGATTGGTTAGAATAAAAAATATATAAAAGAAATATAAAGACGTCTGTTAAATGATTGTGTTATCTAAAAGAGTAAACAAAAACAATGGATTATACATGATCAAAAAAAGTTGAAATCTCTGTGAATGACTTGAGAAAAATCAAAGATATCTCAGTTGTTTACTTACAATCATGTAAAAGTTTAAGAAAAGAGTAAAAAACTGGCTAATCTTACTAGAAAATTATCGTTTCATAGAGTCGAGAGGAAAAGTATACATAAGATTACTGTATCATATAGTGGCTATATCGAGGCAATTTACATAGGATATCCATATACCGACCAAGATTGATCAAACTCTCTTAAGGTGAACTTGAGTAGAAGGATTTTTCAAAGGTAAGGTAAGACAAGGTAACATCATTTTTTTGAAAATGTAGTCTCAACTGCATCTATTTATAGATATCATTGAAACTTGTTGAAATAATAAGTAATTTCAACTAAATTCTTACAACATTATCAAACATCTATTGTTAATCTAAACAAAGTGGTTGTTAAAAAATTTTTATTTTATAGTTTATAATGTTTTCCGGGAAAAAATTTCTTTAATTAAAACGAAACCTAACTATTCTCAATTTTTTTCACACGATTGAATTACATAAAATTTTGAAATATATATCAATGTTTTATTGGTAAGAATTTCCAATTTTCATCGAAATACGTGTATCATTTGCGTTTGAAATTGTTCCTAATAATAAAATGGGTTACAATAAATTTCTGTCTACCTTCATTCATCCTTTTTTCTTTCCTATAAACCAGATCATCATCAACTCACAAAACAACAACAAAAAAATAAAATTTCCTCCTCATAATCAATAGATGACTCACTTATTGTTTTTGTGAAAACCCTTGCTAACCATAGTTACTTATCCGTAATCAATAAAACTAATTTATTATTGTATCTGGTATTGGTCTGTCTCCTTTTTAAATTATCTTCATTTTCTTTTCCATTACAATAGTTTGTCATAGGATGATTAGAATGTGTTCAACCATACTTTTGAATATTTTTTACTAAGATTTAATATTCGAGTTGAATAAGACGACTAATCTGCTAATCAGGCATTCACTTGCGGAAAACATTCAGTTACACTGTTTCACTGACTAGATTATGTAACTATTGTAAAATTCTCTAATTCACTAATAGTTAGTTAAACTAGGCAATAGTAGTGGAAATATAAAAAGACGGGTTTTAAATTTAATTACTTTTTGATATAAGACTGGAATTTGACTGAAAAATAATTCATAGCTCAATTGTTTTATCAGTAGTACGTAATTGCAAATCGCTTAATCTAAATAAAATTTCTTGAGTTTTTCCAGTTGTAAGTTTATTTACTAAAAATATTAAAAAAGTAAAACTATGATAATTTGTAATTATGTCGTACTACTCATTCAAAGTGGCATAAATAAATTGTGATTCAAACCCCTCGATATTTGTAAATGATAAGTAGCTAACGGAAACAAGCCATAAACCACATAACTGCAAATCGATAGATTAACTGATAGCCTAAAGTGAAAAGAGCTCAGGAGAAATAAAGAAACAGTTTAAAAATAGATTTTGAAGATGAGTATTCCTTCGCTAAATGAGATCGAATCGAATTTACATTAAAAATTTTAAAAACCAAGTATACTAATCATTTCTTAGAGTGAATTCGGTCAAGTTCGCTTGATGATTGTTCCTTCAATAATGCATAGTAAATTTGAGTTAGTTTGATAATGAATAATTCGAATAGTTAAAGTCGTTCCCATAGTCGAATAGCTGACGATTTCGAAGGCTTGTCATTTGAAATCCAGTTCTCATTGATTTGAAAACAAGGAAAGACCAATTCGTTATCTTTAAAGATACCAAGTTATAAAATAGTTTACTCCGACGAAAATATAAGATTACTTGATTTGAAAATAATTACTTAAAAGATTTGAGACGACTGTCATTTAATATTTCCAAAGTAAAATATGAAAATATTTATGTCAATCAATTACGAACAGAACCTTAACGCGATAATGTCGTGAAATACGGGTGATGATGAATTGCTAAATTGTAATAAATGAATATTATATATATATATATATATATATATATATATATATATATATATATATATATATCAACTGCTCACTTTTCACATAATGCAGCACTTAGAAAATAATCTTCAGCCAAATACTTTCCAAAATAGGCTAGTCCACCAACTTCATCCAACATTGATTTTTTGACAATATACGACATACCAGTGAAACATGTCACGCCTAACTGATTTAAAGCAGTATAACTACGAGCCAGATAACACCCAAATGTAACCTGAAAGGTTGAATAAAAAAAAAAGACGATAATACTGATTTGGAAGAAAAATTTCGTGAATCAACTTTTTTCTATGTTGAATAGTGAAATTTTTGATTATTAAAAAATACACTAACAATGTTTACAGCGAAAAAATAATTTTAATTTCTATATAAGACAATGTCCCATTTAAATTATCATATACCCATCTGAGCAAATTGTAAACAATACATCTCTATTATTGATTTTGTATACGGAAATCATAGAGTTATTAACAGTTTTAGAAAAAGGAATTAAAACAAGGAAATGAGCAAGAATTTTACAAGTTTGTAGGTTGATTTCAATGTACAATAATAATCATAACAAAAAGATGATTATCTTATCCATATCACGTTGAAATATGTACATACAAATGAAATTAAATTTCTTAGAACTTCCTGAAAATGTCATGTGATAAATTAGCAGTCACGCAAATTGTTTTGGCAAAAGAACTCACGCGTAAATCACTCAAGTTCATGATTATTTTTTTTTCCCACTCAGACTACTTACTTATCACAGAAACAACTGAAATTACTTTTTGAAATAAAAGAATCAATTTGTTTTGTGATATTCATGTAATATACCTGTCTATTTTTTTTTCTATAATTTAAAAGTACACTTACAACACTGAATTGAACAAATTCTTCTGCAAAATCTTTCATTTCAACTGAACCTTTCGACAGTTATTTTTCTCTGTTAATATTATTACTAATATTAATATTATTATTGTTATTATTATTAACCAACATAGTTCACTTCAAAAAAACTAACATTAAGTAAAAGTATACAAATATCAACCACGATGTTTAAGTAACAAACCATATTCCTACAACTTTTAAATCAACAACTAAATAAAATCATCAACTGTCATACACATAGGGAAGAAAATTGTGCAACTTTAAAGCTGAACAATAAATACAAACTAGAGTATATATGCTTCAGTTATTTCATAAATTCAATCTATTTTTTTTTGTTTAATTAAATGCAAATGTCAAGGATTATTCTTGTCACAAAACACAACTAACTCTACAATGAATAGGAATAGTGAAGTATAATTCCAAATGATAAAATTTAAAGTGAAAGGTATCAACTAGTAAACTGGAAATTTTTTGTCCACATATAGTAATCATATGTAAACTAAACATATTTAAAATTATTTTACACTGTTGACACGTAAATCAAATTCTGTATCTTAACAAATTGACAGGACATTGAATAATTTAGTGCTGAATACAAATTAACTAGAATAAATGTCCAAAAAAAAAACCTTGATTCAATTGCTAGCCACAATTCAACTTCTATACAATTGTTAAAAATTAGTGTTTTAAAAATAAAGAGAATACTTGAATTGCATACTCGATATTTGATTACAGTAAAGAATGTTCAGGATAAAATGCACAAAATCGTGTCATTTATGCTTTCGCTTCGTTTCATGTTTGACGTAGGTTATAAACTGTAATTGACTCTAGTTTCTTTAAAAACAAGAGGAAAAGGAAATCATATTAATCGCCATTTGGTGCTTTAATTTCGCAGTAATTAAACGCGTCATTGTTTGGGAACAACTTATGACGGAAGTATGGGCAAGATAACAAAATAATACTTTTATATTAGCCTTTATTCTACTATTGTTTCTAGGCTTATAGATAAGAAAAGAAGGATTTTTTGTAACTTGGTTAATTTCTAAAACACTTTTACAAAAACTTCCAAAGAGAATATTCATTAAATAAGATTTGTCATATACTCTGTGTAAATGAAAAGCTGAAAAAGGTCATTTAGTACAAATTGATCTGGTTGGTTCTCAGAATTTATTACATGCAGAAATCAAACAATAGTAGATTATGTTCTTAATTTTGAAAATTTTGGCAAGGACATAATTATGAATAGAGATCGATAAAGCAGGAGGCTAATTAAAACATTAATTTTGAGTCCATTATTAGTAAACCATTAATACACTGGTAAATTATACAATGAGAAGTACTTTAAGATTCAAGTTAAACACTAAAACGATCAAACTATATTAACACTGAGGAACAATTGTTTTTAATCTCTTATAAAATGATTCCAGTTAAAAATTAATACATAATAAAGTTGTTATTTCTAAGTATAACAAACTTTAAGATCCGAATGAAAACAATTTTGTAGCATCTGTATAACTAGGCTAAATGGAAATGTGTCCTGACTAAATCAATACGACAACTAGTCGATAACAAATGCCAGGTTTGACAAGTAGTTGGGAAAAATAAACCAGAAACACTTATTAGACAATCGCAAATCACATAAAACCTTTTATGATAGGTAACACTGATGTAACCTCTCATTGTACAGTTGATAAGAAAAACGCATCATTTTGTAGACTAATTACAGTTATGTAATAACTCAAAATGACAGTGACTGGATAAATCATTGCAAACAACTTTTGCTTGTGACTTTTCTACTAAGTAAACTGAATGAATACAATTCACAATTGATTAGTCGATAGCCAATAATGGCCTGAAACTGTCACAAGCCAATAGAATTGATTTTTTTGAGTCACATGCTTCATTAACAAATGTAAATGAGTAACTTGGTAAAAAAAGAAATGGTCAGCACCTTTTTTTATTAAACTGAAACCTAACATAGTCTGTATCAGACGAAGATAAAAATCATTTCGTGATTCGAACAAACTCCATTTCGTCATCATTTACACAGTATATAGCTAAAATATTCATTAAAAACTTGTTTCAAAATTGCAGTGCATGCAAAATTGATTAAAAGATGATTACTAAAAATTATATAGAATAAACACAAAGGCATAAGTTTGATAAGTTTTAAGTTTTCACACTATTTAAAAAAAGGATAAATATAAATGAAATAGAAGGAAATAAAGTAAAAATGTTTATTAGAAAAGCAGAATTCTTTGGCATTCAGTACATACCGCATTAAAACTTTATCTTAATTTATGATTAAATCCCTTTCATTGAAATTTCATGGTGTTTACAAATATTTGTCAATATCAACATGACAGACACGTTTTATAGGAATCTAATGTACTCCCCAATAAGATTTGAATGTGTTTTACTGTAGGCTGAGGGTTTTCAACTAACATCTTAGAAATAAATTACTCTAAAAGCATAAGGTTCAGAAAACTCTAAGTTTTTGTCGACAGACTCATATTAAGCTAAAATGAATAAATAAGATATCCAAAAAGCTTTTGGATTTAAGTTCGTAGGACAGGGTCGTCAGTGGATACTGACGAAGAGTACTAGGACGTAGTAAGTGTCCAATGTTCCCCGCTTCTTAATGTTTGTCTAGTTCATCAGACCAGATTATGATTTCAATTATGAAAATGTATTTTCTAAAAGAGTCAAGATAATCAGAGGTAGTTAAAGTCAGTCAACTTGAACAAAGCGTAACTCAATTCTATTCAAACCAAAATTACTGCAAAAATCAGAGAAAAACACCATATCACTTGAAGAATTACCAATCAATTTAAATGAAAAAAATCAATGGTAGTTTCGAACTAATTTCGTGAAAATAAAACATTTTTTGTACATGAAAAAATTAGTTTAAAATACATTAATTAATTGAATTCAAAAAATATAATGAAATTATTAATTTTGTTTTCATGTAAATTTACTCCAATACTACATGTAAAGTATTAGTTGACTGTTGTGCAATTTATCACATCATCCTACGTGACTGTTTCATTTAACTATAAGAATATAAAAATTAAAAATTTATCGATAAAAATACAGTGAAACTTCAGCATCGACATAGGGCAATAAGTCATTTAGCATAAAACTATTAACAAAGTTATATTTGTTGGACAGTGTACTCTTTTTCAACCTATTTAAACTCCACCTAATCTCTACTGTAGTCATTACAAAAAGAATATTTTTTTTTCAAAATCTAGTGAAAATCACTAATTCAAACTAAACATATCTTAAGCTAACCGATCTACAGTCATGACACACAAACAAATAATAAATAGGTATATATTGAATACATTAACTTCAATAAAGGAAGTATTTAAGAGGTCAAATTCAAAATGTATCATAAAAATATCTGTATATATGTATTTACTCAAAAATCTAATTGATTCCATTACATTGTTTAGTATTGTTTTTAACAGTAGCCTGTTTTGAGAAAATCATTTCAGATGGCAATAGTTAATAGAGGATATTGCATCGAAGAATCTGTAGTTTACCTTCTTGAAAAAGTACATTTATTATGACTTAAAAGAAAGGATTACACATATTTTTAAAT